TCCAGAGTGTCCTTAGAAGCCATGAGTTAAATAAATCAGAATCTGTTTAGCTGGGGTCCTTGAATGACTTAATGGAGCAGAAGTTCATCCTCTCCTCTGTCACCAATTGGAATTCATGTGGTACAGAAATAAGCTTCTATCATATTAAGCCATTGAGCATCAGAGTTCTTTCTGTAACAGCAGTTACCATTACATTACCTAAAACAGTAGCCTAGAATCTATAAACTATAAAGTAAGAAAGACAAGTAGTTCTAAGAAAGGAGAAGGGCTGGTTACTCAAGCATGAGAAATATATTTCCATGTATTTCTTTGATTGTGTAGGGCAGACTAAAAATGGTATGTCAAAGACACCTATCTACCATTAAAAAAAACTCTAGATTAAATGAAGCTACTTTGATCCATTCTTAAATATCTATAGAAAATTGAATTTTCACTTATAGCTCTTTTAGAACTCATTTTTGTGTCATTTTCTATGATTAATGTGTTAGAAGATTTTAGTGTTTTTAGTTTGGGACCGTTGAAAAAAATTTTTTGAATTGGAGCAAAAAGAAAATTTTTTTGATAAATTAAGAAGATGCATTAGAAATTATTTCTTTGACCCTAAATATGAACAGAATATTGTGACATTCAATACCTGTAGTTTCTCCTGCCAATAATAATCGGCCTACAATCCTGAAAATTAAATGTATGGGGATTATTATCTTTTACTAATATTTTGATATAGAACTATAAGCAAATGCAGATTAATGTTGTAGAAAGACAGAGATTTCTTACTGTTTTCTTGATATTTTAGTATTCTGCTAGGATTAAGTTACTATGCATAGGAAAGTTATACAGAAAATTTTGGAAAATAGACTGAGTCATGCAAGATTCAGTATTTTTTTCCACAAATGTCCTTCAGATAGAGGCAATTATCATACAAATATCTCCATCCAGGCCCTAGTTTATCTAGTGTGGTATTTAGTGTGTAATTGTTTTCTTCTATTTCTTTGTTTCTAGGGATGTTCCATATTTAAAGTTCATAATATTAGGACTCTTGACTTAGAGTTAAATCTATAATGCCCATTAATATCAAAATTAAAATAAAATTTTCTCATCATCATTCATGTACATCCTCCTTATATACAATTTATAATCTTGAAAATGTTACTCTTTGTTTTATTTAACTCATTTAAATTTTAAAATGTGATTTGCTTATTTCTCACATAGACTTTCAAACCAGGAGAAAATGTAACTAGCTTTCTGGTCTAACAGGATTTGTCTTCAGTTGTAGATTGGGAAATTGACATTTTGGTTTAAACATTAGATTCTACTTATTGAAGTTCCTTTGAGCCTGTTTCCAAGAGAGTGACCATGGGGACCCGCTGATCAAATCCAGCTTCTGAATCTGCAGTGGGGCCAGACCTGGATTTCGATGGCATTCCAAGGCACTGGCACCCTGTGAGATTCTGCCTGGCTGAAATCTCGAACTCTTGCCTGCAGTCTGCAATGTATAATCTTCTCATTTACAAAGATCACCACTGCAACTCTATTCCAAACCCAACCTAAGTTTGTCAGGAAGTTTCTGATTCATAGCTGCCATTGTACCTGGGCCCCCATAGAACTTCATGTGTTTTTTTACATTTTTCCTCTTTTCCTTTTGCAAAGAGAAGTACACCATAGAAATAAAACAGAAAGGTAATTTTAGAAAGAGTGTCCTCTGAAGTCCAGCTCAGAGAGTGAATTTTACATTTGTTCTTAAATACATTGTTTTCTTCTATATGCTTTACTTGGAAGTACTTCTTCTGAAGAAGAGTCTGAGGAGCCAGGGAAAATTCACGAGGGAATGAGTAAACTCTTCTCCAGTGAAATGGAAAGTTTGGCTTTTCCTCTCAGTTATTGTGCTGGAAGTTTCTAAATGATCTCCATGTCTCTTCTTTTTCAGCTTTTCTCAGTGTGTTATTGGTAATCACTAAACATTTCCTATGAAGACTAATCCACATAAGTATTTCTGAGTATTGTCTTTCCCAAAATAAAACAGGACTGTCAGAATTGATTTAAATGATGTAGCAATCAAAATAGTGAAAGGATGCCTTTTATTAATTTTGAGATAATTGCTCATATATGTAATTAGAGTAGAGTAAATTAGAATTTTATTAACCAATAGCACAATACAATTAGGAATCTCACCACCTGACAATTAAGCTCAATTTCATATTTGGGGGTAAAAGAAAGTGTGTGTGGTACATTTGTCAAAGTGTTTCAACATCCTCTGCACTGGAAAAGCATCTTGTTCTACACAAAAATCAACCACATTGTATATTAATAAAATTAAATTAAATTTTAAAAAAACAGCTGGAAAATACAACCCATATGAATGAGATAAAGCAGTTAATTGAAAATGACTAACAGCTGACAAAGATGTTAGAATTAACAGATAAGAACATTAGTTATAATTATATTCCACATGTTCAAAATAGAAGATATAAAAAAGACAAACTCCTAGAGATGAAAATTACAACGTATGAGATGAAAAGTACACTGGATGGGATTAATGACAGATTAGATACTGCAAACAAAATGATTAGTGAATTCAAAGACACAGCAATAGAGACTGCACAAAAAATGAAACACAGAGAATAGATAATTTTTTTAAAAAAATTAACAGCACATGAGTGAGTTATACAACTACTCTGAAAAGCCTAATATGTGAATAATTGAAGTATAAAAAGGAGGGTGTAAAAAGGAAAAATATTTGAAGAAATGATGGCTCAAATTTTTCCAAATTTGAGAAACTTTTGGGGGTGATAGATATGTTCATTATCTTGTTTGTGGTCATGGTGTCACAGGTATATACATATGCCAAAACTTGTCAAACTGTACACCTTAAATATGTGCAGTGTATATGTCAATTATATCTCAGTAAAACTGTTAAACAAACAAAAAAAAGCATCTTGTTCTTTATGTTTTCTGAGGCACTTTCACCCCAGCCTTCTTCTGACTTGCATTTTTGTTGTTTACTTATTGGCCTCCTGAATGTCATTACTGTCAGCTCCTTGAGAGAAGGGAATTCGGGGGGGCATTTTTGTATTTCCCATATCACCTGGACCTCGGAGCCATTGAATATGTATTTGCTATATTTACTTGAAAAGTCCTAAAAACAATTTGCTCATCAAATTTGCAGATGACTAGAAGAGACTAGGTGGGTACCTCATAAGTTGAATGTCATAGTCAGAATTGTAAAAACTCTCAAAAGGCTGAAAACCTTATAAAAAGAAATGTAAAATACCAAGACCTAAATTCAAAAATACAAAATACAGAATTAAGGACATAATAGACATGTTTAACAGCAGATTAAACATAGCTACAGAGAAAATTGGTGAACTGGAAGATATCTCAGAAGAAATCATCCAAAATGAAGCAGAGAGAGCAAAAGAATAGAAAATGCAGATGAGGCTAAGAGACGGGGAGGGTCTATTAGGAAGTTGTACACATATGCAATTGGTGTCCTACAAGGATAGCAGAGAGAGAACCAGGCAGAAACAATATTTAAACAGAAAGTGGTTGAGAATTTTCAGAAATAAAAGATACAAAAATTCTAGAAGGATAGCTTATTACAAGCAAGATATGAGAATAAATCCATACTTGGATAGTATAGTGATCCTGCACTACAAACATTCAAAGACAAGGAGAAAATCTTAAAAACAGCCTGAGAAAGTAGACAGATTACTATCAAAGAAGCAGAAATTACATTTTAAGATTAAATAAAATGCTTATAGCATGAGTCATTTTTTATGATTTGACACCTTAACCAAATTTCCAACTTACTTTGGAGCCTGATTGTGCTATATGAGATTTTGTTCTGAAGCTGGGATTCAGTATTTGTAGGTCTTTTAATCAAAAAAGATAAATCCAATTTATTCTATGTAGCTCCAAGGGAATGGACCAAATACCAATGTGTAGAAGGTCTAAAAAGGCATATCTCTACTTAATATAAGGAAGAGATATCTAATAATTTGAGCTGTTAAAATCTAGAATAAGTTGACTTATATAAGAAGTGAGTTCTCTATCATCAAAGAGTTTGGTTAAAAGGCAGATACATTCATTCATTTATCGACTATTTATTAAGCACCTTCTATATATCAGGCACAGTTATAGATTCTGGTAATGTATCAGTGAACAAACAAACAAAAAGACAAAAATCTCCTCTATGTAGAGCTTATATCCCAGTGCAAGGAGACAGACAATAATTATGGTAAATAAGTAAATTATGCACTATGTTAGAAGATGATCAGTACTGAAGGGAAAAAATAGAAAAAGGTAAAGGTGATCAGGAGTAATGGGGGAGGGTTTGCAATTTAAGATATGATGGTCCCAATAGGTGTCACTAAGGTATTATTGTGCCAAAGACCTTATGGAGGAAAGAGTGAGTTATGAAGATCTAAGCAGTTAAAAGGAACAGTTTAGTGGGAGTTACTTCTACCTCTGTAATCTAGTCTTATCATATGTTTCAAAGTAAGTTTGGATTTTTAGCTGATGAAATTTTATTAATTATTATGAAATGGTACAAATCAGGGTGACTTCCTATACTGTGTTTGTAAATGAAAGCTGTTCATCCTCACTATAACTCTAGAAACTTTGCATTTGAAAAACATTTCTTTTAAAAATTCCAGATTTCAGAAAGAATGTTGTACCGTCTGTTGGTATCTCAGAATTTGGATATTACAGCAGATAATTAGTATGAACTTGTTAGAGAACTGGCCTGTCATCTTGGGAAAGAGATGTAAAGTCTCTTCACAGAGCATTCAAAAGTAGAATCGTAGGTTTGCTCTTTAGAATCAGATTGCTTTTTGAAAAAAGAAAAGCCAACAAACATCGAGCTGCTTTGATTCAAAAAAATAATGCTTGCCTCTGATGTTAAATTCCCCAGTGCCAGCCATTTGAAGTATAGAGGGCTTTGACATGTACACAATAAAAAGCCAAGAATATCTTCCCTATTAACTTGTAATCTTGTGTTGCAGGCACACAAAAAATCCCTTTGGACGATTGAACCCAATGAAGGCATGGTTCCCCCAGAAACTGAGGTTCGACTGGCACTGATTGCCAACCTGAATGATGTGCTGACATTCAACGACACAGTCATTTTGGACATAGAAAACAGCAACACCTATCAGATCCCTGTCCAGGCTTCAGGAATTGGTTCCACCATTGTTACAGATAAGCCCTTTGCTCCAGAACTCAATTTGGGGGCACATTTTAGGTAGGGAAATATCATGGACCATTGTTTCTATAGGTCACATATGTTGCATAAGCTGAGCGTTGCCTCTAGTTTAGAAAATCATTTTTAAGTAAATAGAACTAACTTTCTCAGTCCCTCTCCTTTCCCGCCTTTACTTTCCCCACTCCTGGTTGGTACATCAACCACAAGAACACATTTCCTAGTCATAGCTTGGTTATTTTTTTTTTTTTTTAATTTTTATTTTGTCAATATACACTGTATATGATTATTATGGCCCATCACCGACACCTCCCTCCCTCCTCCCTCTCTCCCCTCCCCCCCAAGAATGTCTTTTCCGTTTGCTTGTTGTAGTAACTTCATGAAAGTATAGTTGTTATATCTTCTTCCCCGCCCCCCCCCTGGTTTTTTTTTTTTGTGTGTGTGTGTGTGTGTGTATGTGAGTGAATTGATTTCATAGCTTGGTTATATTCCCCAAGCTGTGTCCCTCTATGCTAGAGAAAGAGATGGTTTGTAGGAAGTACATTCTTCTCTCAAATTTATAGTGGCTTCTCTGTAGTGAATTTAGAGTTTCAACCACGAATTCTCTTCTTCTATTCCAATACACTACAAATCCCTCTCCATGAATGCAGAAAATACAGATATAGATAGATCTTAGTGGTAACCTAAATAGAGTATACCTAGGAAGGTAAAAATTTATTGCAAATGTATCTTATCCAATATTGCAAAGCTAGTAGCTGTTTTTGGTGTTATGTCCTCTCCTTGCCTCCACATCATAACACCAGCAATTGAGATGGTTGCAGTTGGCTTCACCTGATCACCCAAGAAAAGCTAGAGGGTCTAAATATTAAATAAAAAGCGGTACAGTATAGAAACCTCTGAGCAGAACAATCTAAATGTGGATATAAAAAAGTATGAGGTTTGAATACTGAGGGAAGAGAATATGTGTGGGGATTCATTCCTGGTTCCTCTGCAAAGTCATGCAGCTATCACTAGTTGACTCTTGGGAGCCAGTTGAATTTGCACCTGTCTGTTGCAGTCCTGTAAACAGATCTCAGAAGGATGCTCCTTCTGCCTTCAAATCTAACAAGCCCTGAAACCATGTCAGACTCAGAGAAGATGTGATTGACAGTAATCAGTTAGGAGCCCTCCCCACAATCCCATTCATGCCTCCTTTTCTCTGTCCCATCTACAGATCATGGGACTTGACTGAAAATATCAGAAACCAACAGAGGATTAAGTAAGAAGCAAGTCAGATCATTGAATTGCATATTTCCTTAGACAAATATAAAATTATATTTTTTGAGTCAACTAGATATAAAAATCCTCCTCTCTGCCTATTAGCCATAAGCTAAGGCAATTTGTCATTGCATTCCAATGCTTCTAATTTCAAATTTCTTTAAGTGAATGCAAATATAATTATAGAAAACAATATACTGCAAACCAGACCAATTACCTGTTCTTCTTAATCTACAAATAGTATCAAATAGCCCCCAAAGGACATTCTGACACTTGTTTGGAATTGGAGGGTTAGCTAACAGTTTTCTATGAATATAAAAGCAAACTATCTTTTAGCTGCTTATTTCACCTCTGTCTAACCCTATTATTTATTTATTTATTTGACATAAAATCATGATGCCAGCAATCTCCAGAAGAATGATCAAAAGCTGGAGTGGATAGGGGCCGGCCCGGTGGTGCACTGCTACAGTGCGCCGCTTGGGAGCATGCCGGCGCTCCCGGCGAGGGTTCGGATCCCACATACAGACCGGTTCCCGCTCACTGGCTGAGCGAGGTGCGGGCGCAACACCGAGGGTTGCGATCCCGTTGCTGGTCCCGGTCTGGTACGGGGGCAACACTGAGGGTTGTGATCCCGTTACCAGTTAGTAAAAAAGACAAAAAGGAAAAAAAAAAAAAGCTGGAGTGGATAAACTACAGCTCACTGCCTGTTTCTGTAAATTAAGTTTTTATTGGCATGCAGCCACACCCATTCATTTACGTATTGTCTCTGACTGCTTTCATGCTACAACAGAGTTGAGTAGTTTTGACAGAGACCATGTGGCCCCAAAAGCCTAAAATATTTATTATTCTTCCCTTTACAGAAAAAGCTTGCTGACATCTGGTCTAAAGGAATTCCTCTATGCCATCCCTCCTTGATTGCATATTTTTGGGCAACTCTCTTAGATTTTCAGAACTCCCATTTCTTTATCTATAAAATGGGAGTAAATACACTTATTATGACCAGGTTGCTGTGATGATTGAAAGATATACTGTGAATAAGTAACAGAGGTCCTGCCTAGTTTATAAACAGTATATATTATTTATTATTTCCCCCAAATGCCTAACGTTAGCCATAAAGTTAAACTGCCAGGTAAAGATACTCCGGTGGGCATGCCCTGTGGATACATATTTAGATAGAAGTCGTTATACCTGATAGCTGACAAGTATTCCTTCTGAGTATTTCTTTGATGCTTCAACTTATTAAATATGATGTCATTTCCTAAGGACGAATAGATGGGATGAAATCTCAAAGCCTAGTAAAATGTAAAAAATAAAAAACAGTGCTGAGATGAGATTTTTCCCTGAAAAAAATATTTTTTTAAGGTAAGCCTATAAATCAGTAAAAAAAAAAATCGCATTTGAACCATCACTAAGATCTTAAAAATCTCAGTTTTTTAACAGGGCCAGGCAATCAGGAGGTCCTTAATAAGTACTTGTGGAATAGATGGATGTATGAATGAATGAATGAAATAGCGACGTCTATAAAGCACATTAGTCTGAGAAAAGTGACCAATCCAGATAGTGTTCTGGCCCATTGCAGTCCTCCCAACCTTTGTTAAGGCTTAGAGGTTATGTGCTGTTTCTCTTCAAAGTTCTCTTCAAATTGTGCCCACCATCAAGACGTTTCACTCAGTCAATAGAAATTAACTCAACACAATTTGAAATACGCTTCCTCTCCAGTAGGTATTCTGATTTTCTTTCACTTCTCAGAACAATTTCTCATAAATTAGAGTGCTTTTCATGTGAACTGTGTCTGTGTGTCCTGCAGCAAATGTGACCTGCTGGGGATGACTGGGGATGTGAGTGGGCCACCTTCTCACAGCCCCTTATCTGGTGGTGGCAACTCTGGGGCCAAACCCAGCACCATGACTCCAAGTCTATTGGCCCCTTGAGTAGGTACTACCTTGTGTAGATACTAGTCCCATCACTGTGATGGTAGTTCCTCATAGCATCTTGACTTAGTCTTCCTACAGTTTTTAAAAAGAATGTCTATATTTCGTTGCTCACTTTTTAAATACCTCCACAGGAGTAAGTCCCAAGGATGTAGAGCTGAACAGAGCATCCCTAAGTTGAGTCCTTTCAACACCTGCCTCTTCTTTTCCAGCCTGGATACCTATTATTACCGCTTCAAGTTGACCAACAAGGGACGTCGGGTCCAACAGCTGTTCTGGATGAATGACAGTTTCTGTCCCCAGGGCAAGCTGAACAAGAAGGGACAGGTTAAGAAGGGACATACTGATGGCCAGCGCCAGTCCAAAAGTTCCCAGGAGCCCAGGGACCCACAGAGCCCCGTGTTTCAGCTCCACCCCGTCAGGATGGAGCTGTACCCAGGCCAGACGATCAATGTGATACTCGAAGGCTATTCTGCTATTCCAAGAGTAAGAGGACAGCATATTTAGAAGCTATTTTTCTTCTACATAAATCTTTGCTGTATCTGTTTCTTAGGCAAGTCCTTTGACATTTATTTGAGGAAGGATGTGGTTTCTCTAGGACTGCATACAGCACCAAGTTACCATGGCAGCATCCATTGCTTTCAAGGTTCAGCTCTGCTCAGTTTTCTATTTGTTTCTATAGCTACCATGAACACAACCTTAAAGGACCATTTAAAGCAGGTTTTCATTCCCAGGGTCGACAGGAACCAGCCAGCAAGTCTCCGGTAGAGGAGCATCCAGTTTTCAGCCCAAGCAAATTCTCCTATTAACACTTAGCAGTATTAATTTAATATTTATTCAAAAAGAGTGTTTTTATAGGCACTCTGGTTTGCCTCTTGCATCCAGGCATTGGGACATCCCCGGTATTTTCCTTCCCAGCCTGACTATGACAGAATCACATTTAAAAATGTAATTTTTTTTATGTATCAGTGAAAGAGCCACATTTATCTTCAGCAACTCTGATTTTCTGCTTTTATTTACATTATCACCATACATTCTGCTTAAAACATTTAAGCAGATCCAAACCTTGTGTCTGTTTATTCCTATTCCCTCATGGAGTTTGGAAACCATGAAAAATCTAAAAGAAAGACTTTTGAAGTCACTTAAAAGTCTCTCCCACCCCATAAATGCAGTCTTTGTGAATGAGAAATGATGCTTGCTTAAGCTCCTCCTTGTGTCACCAAATTAGGAGGTGATACTGAATTTACTCCTCATGAAATAGGAAGCAGTAAGAAATGTGTCTCCCAGTCAATACAATGGGAAAGCTGATTCATTGCTTAGCTTCTCTAGGATCACAGATTCCACTTTAGTTCATTTGTATTATTTCCTTACAGAGTATTTTCAGGCAAAACACATTTTCAGTGCAAAAAAAAAAAAGTTCTCTCTCATTATGAAGTATGTAATGTGCTCCTTTTCTCTGTTATTCAGGGGATGAGCCAACTTTTACTGAGCACATGCCATGTGGCAAGCACTGTGCTAGGCACTGAAGATGCAATGATAACAGAACACAGCCCTTTATCTCAAGACACTGATAACCTGTGGGAGGAGCACATTTGCAATGTGGTTATCAAGACTGGGCCATATTTCTGAAGGCATTAAATCTGCGCTGCTGGGGAACTAAATTCAGTTTAAGCTTTAAAGTTTCGGGCTGGCCCGGTGGCGCACTGCTACAGTGCGCCACTTGGGAGCGCAGCGGTGCTCCCGCCGAGGGTTCGGATCCCACATACAGACCGGCCGCTCACTGGCTGAGCAAGGTGCGGGCGCAACATCGAGGGTTGCAATCCCGTTGCCGGTCCCGGTCCGGTACGGGCGCGACACTGAGGGTTGCGATCCATTGCCAGTCACGAAAAAAGACAAAAAGGAAAAAAAAAAAAAAAGCTTTAAAGTTTCCCTTGAATGTTCTTCCAAATCATGCTACATAGTTGAGAAGGGATTCAAATTCATTCACATCCCAAACCTGAGCATTCTTCAATACAAGCTATTCATGATATAAATTCACTTTTGGTCCAGTCTACATTATAAAAATCTGGGCTTCTTGGTTCCCAAAAAATATTAGTTTCTAATAAAATCTAATACATGATTTTTAAATACTTAGTATGAAAAGCAAAATTTTTCCAACCACAGTTTCCAACTAGTTTGATAAGAAATCATATAACTACTATTGAACTATAAGCCCCGTGAAGGATTTTAACTGCCTTGTTCATCACTGTTTTGTGCGCCCAGCCCCCAACAAAGCATCTGATGCATAACAGATCATATATTTTCATGTATATCTGAATGTAAATTGATTGTGTCCTGAGGGGGCAGTCAGAAATGAACATAGAATCCATCGAAGCCATATTTAATCAACTGAATGTAATTGTGTGACAGAGAGCAACCCCTGAAATACACTGTGTGCCCTTCCCCCATGTCCCCAGACAGGTAGTTGGGAATCAGCTTGCTTTCAGTGGGTTATTAAGTTTTCTGGGTTATGGTTGTTCTAGAAATGCCGGTGTGTCTCGTCTGCAGGTAGTCAGTGAAAAGCTGGTGTGCCACGCCATCATCGGGACCCAGAAGGGGAAGAGCTTGGTGATGGCTGTGAACATTGTCTGTGAGTTCACAGCACCTCTTATCCAGCTCTCCACTAAGGAGCTCGTATACCGACTGGAGAAGGTCAGTGGGACTGTGCTTGGGGGGGTCTGAGTGCTCCGACTGGGGTTCAGCATGTTCATACTTTCACTTTGGAAGCTCAATTAATGGGAATCCTGTAACACCCATTACCCAGCCAGTGTCTTTAAAGCTTCAGAGGCCAGTACACATTCAACTAAAAGTTCTTAATCTACATCTATGATCCTTTGAAATGTAAATTGCTATGGAAATTATACTTCCATCATTCCTGATGAATAAGACCAAAGTGCAGAGTTATCCCAGAGTACTGAAAATGCATTTTAGTTGATCATCTTATAAACATAACGGTAGAGAAAGGGTTGAAATAGAATTATCAATAATTATAATAATCCACAAGAATAGCTACCACTTATCAATTAATATGTGCTGGGCATTGAGCCATGCTTATTATATACATTTTTCCAGTTCCTGCACAACAACCCTATACAGTATGTTTTGTTATCATTCGCATGATGCACATGAGGAAACTGAGATACAAGTTAAGCTGTATAGATCATCTAACACCGCTGGAGGATAAGCAACTTAAAATACTTGATTCACTCTCTTTAATTCATATGGCTATATATGTCCATGACTTTGTATGTCCATGACTTTATATGGCCATTGAGGGGAGGAAATAAATGGGACAGACCAGGGACAGAGGAGAGATAGGAATGACTGATGCTTAGGGAAGGAGATGGGGATGGTGACGAGTTAGGGGTATCACCCTAGGACCTTGACCTACTCCTAGGCAGGTTTCCATCCTAGAATTATTTACCATTCAAAACAGATATGTATAGAATGTCTGTTCTGAGTCAGGTACTGTGCTGGTTCTGAAAATCCAGTGAACCATACAGACAGTATCAAAGCTAAGAGACCAGTTGAGCTTACAGACTGTAAAAGAATTATTAAAATTTAATTGTTTAAATTAACGATTATAAACAGTGCTGGAAGAAGAGACATAAGGTGCTGTGAGAGCATATATCAGGAGACATGGCCTCATTTGTACATGTGGTCACAGACGGCTTCCTGGAGAAAGCACCTCAAGTTGGCACTTGAAATAAAAATAGAAGTTAGGCTGGTAACAAGGGAAGGGAAAGAAATGTAGGCAGAGGGAAGAGCTCATAGGAAGGGCCTGAGTTAGGGAGAGGTTTGGCGAGATGAAGAACTGAAAGACCACCTGGGACAGAGAATAGCAAGAGGTCTGTGTGGAGAAGTGGCAGGGGCCAGCTGTGTGTGGCATGCCTGGGAGCTGTGTTCTAGGCTTCAGGTGGCCAAGGGAGGGCTTTAGGGAGGGGAGCGACATGGTCAGATTTGTTCATTAAAACAGTCATGCTGGCTGCCAAGTGGGATATTTGTTAAGGCCTGTCATGTGCCTATCACTGTGTCAGGTGCTAGGATGAGAATAGTCTCTCCCCGATGAATCTCACAGCCTCCTGGGAAGACCAAGCCTTAAGTAAGCCATTGTCCCATAGCATGATCTATTGTGTCATACAAAAGTCTCGGTGTGGCAGTGCCTAACCAGTCATGGGGGAACCAACTGAGGTTCCTTTCATTTCCTGGAGGTTTTCAGCAGAATGTTCAAAGCAATTTGTTCTGGTCATGGATTCCATCACATTTTGTTCATTAAAAAAAATATCTGTTGAGCACCTCCGTGGGTAAGGTGCTCTGCTAGGAGATGATTAAGGGAGCTTAAAGTCAGACTAGTAGGAGAGGCAAGATGTACAAGTTTAATTCAAATCAACAAATAATGTTCGAGCACCTACATTGTACTAGGCACCTACAGTATATTAGGCACCTACAGTGCATGGGGCAGAAAAGACGTGGCAAAGACCCTGGCTTAACAGACTAGTGGGGGTGGTGGACAATGAGAAAGTAAGATAAGGGTTTTGGTTGCAGGAAGCTTAACTAACAAGCTAAACACATATCTAACAAGCTCCATGAGACATGTAAAAATAAAATTCTACAAGAGTCTGCTACAGTTATTAAGCTTTCAGTGCTGTTTTAAATTCTTTCTTGTTAAGTAATCAGGAAAAATATTTACTGGCAACAGCTGCACTAAATTTGATGGTATATTTTCTCTGAATACAGCTTTTTTTTAATTTAATTTTATTTTGTCAATATACAATGTGGTTGATTATTGTGGCCAATTACTGAAACCTCCCTCCCTCCTCCCTATCCTCCCTCCCTCCCAACAATGTCCTTTCTGTTTGCTTGTCCTATCAGTTTCAAGGAATTGTAATTGCTGTGTCTTCTTCCCTCCCCCGCCCCCAGTTTATTTGTGTATTTATTTATTTATTTCTAGCTCCCACAAATAAGTGAGAACATGTGATATTTCTCTTTCTGTGCCTGACTTGTTTCACTTAATATAATTCTCTCTAGGTCCATCCATGTTGTTGCAAATGGCAGTATTTCATTCTTTTTTATAGCAGAGTAGAGTAGTATTCCATTGTGTAGATATACCACAATTTCTGTATCCACTCATCCAATGATGGACATTTGTGCTGGTTCCAACTCTTAGCTATTGTGAAGAGTGCTGCAATGAACACTGGAGAACAGGTATACCTTCAACTTGATGATTTCCATTCCTCTGGGTATATTCCCAGCAGTGGGATAGTTCAGTCATACGGTAGATCTATCTGCAATTGTTTGAGGAACCTCCATACCATTTTCCATAGAGGCTGCAACATTTTGCAGTCCCACCAACAGTGTATGAATATTAGTCCTTTGTCGGATGTGTATTTTGCAAATATTTTCTCCCACTCTGTTTGTTGTCTTTTAGCTCTGTTAATTGTTTCTTT